CTGCACCGGAACTTGCTTCGCCCGTGTCCAAATTACCCGAGGCTTTTGGCCGCAGCCCCCGCAATACCGATGGCGCAGGAAGCGCCCCTGGTAGGCTGGGCGGTGTTACCAAGGGGCCCAGACATCAAGGCCAGGGGAGCGGAGCCGGTCTCCCCGCCTAGGCGGTCACAAAGAGAAACCCGAGGAGTGCCCCCAGAGAGGTATGGGGAGTGGGTAGCAGAGTCCGGTTCTAGGGACTAGAACGGAATGGTGGGGGAGGATGTCACCGGGTGTCTAAGCCGGAACTAAAATTCGGTGCATGGTCCCCCGGGGGGAGCACTTCCGGTGTAACATCAGGCCGGTTCCGGTTTGCCGTCATGGCCGATCTAACGGGAAAACGTGGAGGAATTGTTTACAGCTGAATGAAATGAGAGTTGATTACGGTGGCGAGCGAGAGTGTGTGTTTGCAGAGGATATAAATGGAGCAGTTGAAGGAAGGAGAGTAAGACAGAAAGAAAAAGGGCGAGGTACGGGGAGTGAAGGACTGGCCAAAAGTGAGCAGACGGGCGAGGGAGAAGATTGTCCCCGTGAGTGTGAAGACCAACATTTATGAAGAGTTAAGTACCCAATTTCAGCTTGCTGTACAAACATTGTGATTGAGTTGATGAAGGCATTGTGAAGATCGTCTTTTATGAAGAGTTGAGTGCCCAAATCCAGCTTGTATAAACCTCGTAGTCGAGTTTGATGAATGCATTATGAAGATCGCCCTTTACGAAGAGTTAAGTACCCAATTCCAGCTTTCTGTACTAACATTGTGATTGAGTTTATGGAGGCCTTGTGACCTATTAGAAGATCTGTCCATGTTCGCTGTTCTATTTTCATGAGGTTGAAGCTGGTGATGGGAACGCACGTTTGTGTTCCCGAATAACCCCCCTGTGCAGCCGCCTCATCATTGCACTTTCTCCCCCCCCCCTTCGGTTGGAACCCGAGCAGCAGTTTGGATGATCCAGGTTGAGTGGAGTGAAGGCTTAAACCCACTGTGAGGTATTTGTGGAATTGCAGTGCTTACAAGTTGAAGTGTGCACGTGTGAATTGTGGAGGGATTGCTGTATACACAAGTGTGAAGAAGATTTAACCATTCCGTTCGCTCCAATTTTTCCTGGGATCGTCCAGCCCGTGTGGGGTGGGGAAGTTTATAGTCCAGCTGTATAGATGTGTGCAGGTGCCGATTGACTCTCATCTTCAGGAACCGAGAAAGCCAGTCACTCACGCTGCCCAGGACTCACCGACCTCGATGACCGCCACTTCCTGAGTTCCTTACGAGTTCCAAAGCTACTCTACTGCAGGTACTTCAGCTCTATTGCTGCGTTACAGGAACCGAGAAAGCGAGTCACTCACGCTGTCCAGGACTCACCGACCTCGAAGACCGCCACTTCCTGAGTTCCTCACGAGTCCAAAGCTCCTCTACTGCAGGTACTTCAGCTCTATTGCTGTGTTACAGGAACCGAGAAAGTCAGTCACTCACGTCGCCCAGAACTCACCGACCTCGAAGACCGCCACTTTCTGAGTTCCTCACGAGTCCAAAGCTCCCCTACTGCAGGTACTTCAGCTCTATTGCTGCGTTACAGGAACCGAGAAAGCCAGTCACTCACCTGAAGGTCCCCTTGCCCTCACGTTGTATGGAGTTGCTCTTCTGGAGACACTTGTAGCCCGTCTTGAGCTCCACCGTGATCCTATGGAAACAAAAGAGGTCTGTTACTTATCCACTTTGAGTCACTCACCTGAAGGTCCCCTTGCCTGAGCTCCTGAGATCCACTGCCGTCTGGAAGGAGTAGGAAACGCCAGCCCTCACGTTGTATGGAGTTGCTCTTCTGGAGACACTTGTAGCCCGTCTTGAGCTCCACCGTGATCCTATGGAAACAAGAGAGGTCTGTTACTTATTCACTTTAAGTCACTCACCTGAAGGTCCCCTTGCCTGAGCTCCTGAGATCCACTGCCGTCTGGAAGGAGTAGGAAACGCCAGCCCTCACGTTGTATGGAGTTGCTCTTCTGGAGACACTTGTAGCCCGTCTTGAGCTCCACCGTGATCCTAAGGAAACAAGAGAAGTCTGTTACTTATCCACTTTGAGTCTCTCACCTGAAGGTCCCCTTGCCTGAGCTCCTGAGATCCACTGCCGTCTGGAAGAGTGGAACGAGTTTAGCCGTCCAGGCGGACGCCCTTTTAACCCTGTTTTAATATTTAATAAAGACAAATTACTTACTGTACCTTGTGTCCAGCCTCGTGGTGTTCTTGGTGTAGCTCCTCAGAGTGGTAGTTGGTACGGGTCGTGGTTTCTCCCCACCCCCGGCCTGTGACACATATAAGCTATTAGAGTAAAAATATTGCGTTAGGCTACTTCATGAGTTAATAAGAAAAAAGATTTTACAATTGTGTTCATGCGACGAACAACCGTATAAGTCCAAAAAAACAAAAATTGAGATAACCATGTGACTTGAATGTATGTGTGCCACTTTGTATACAGAATCACTTTGGGGGTGTGTTCGCGCGACCAAAACTCTGTATTTTAAATTTTAAAATAGTCTCACGCGGAAAAACCGTTTATGTCCACTAACGAAAAATGGAGACGCCGGTTGCTTTCATGTCCGCTGCGGACATTAAACGGCAAAACCTCGGCAAAAAAAGGAGAGCGAACATGAATGAATGGAAGGACAGAGCAAGGAAGTCTTTGAGGGATGCTGGGAAACCATATGTGAGAGGAGAGCAAAAACGAGGAAAAAGTCCACCGAAAGAGGTGAGTGAAAGAACCGTATACAAAGTATCTAACTTAGCAGCTACTGTTACAGTCAGAGGGGCGTGTAGGCTCCTGCGCGTCGTCTAACGTTACTACAGTTCATTCATATAGCTCACTCTGTTTAACGGATCAATTCATGAATGGGTCGAAATTAATGCTGTAGGCTACTACTCCTTATAACCGAGGATAAATGAATCGAAACATTATAGCTGCGTTTGATGTCTGGCTAGCCAGTTACTTTGTAACGTAGCTGGTTACAGTCAGGGGGCATATTACTGGGCGTCTAACGTTACTAATGTTCATACAGCTCTGACTGTTTAGCGAATCAAGTCATGAATGGGTCGAAATGAAAGCTGAGAAAATTAGACTTTGATTGCTTTATGTCTTCACTGAAATTGGTAAAAAAAAAAATAAAAATAAAAAGTCATTGAGGTGTTTAAAATATTTTGATATACTTTTTGGATCCCATGTTACCATTTATGCAACACTTTGTTTTGTAATATTGTATGCTATATTTGTTTGTTACTCATTTTTTAATAAATAAAATAAATAAAAGGTAATAATAAAAAAATGCATTGATTGTGTAAGCTGTTACGTTATATATTATAGGTAGTAACCTTAATAGCTGCTAATAGCTCTAGTGTTCTATAGCTATATATAACAAAAAAAAAAACTCTAATGTGACTTTGTTTTTGTTAAGGGCAAGGTGTGCAAGGAGACGTGTCCCAGGCAGTGTTCAAGCCTAACAGAACAAAGAAAACTCCAGCTCTTCACAGAGTTTTATGCTGTCTCTTATGAGAGGCAGCAGGCTATCATTCTCTCTGGTTTGGAGCAGGTAGGCTAACTTAAGCAATTCATGACCATATCATGTCAACAGTATGCAATGCATCACAATGTAGACCCATGAAATAACCAGTGAATTGAATACTACTGTATGCCTTCAATTCACTAAGACTGCACATGTGCCTGATCACTGTAAATGTTAAATTTTGTGAGGATGGATGAAGGATGATCAGCATCAAGTAGGCCACCAAGTGCATTACAGTCAGACCACAGCGCTTTGGTGCCCTAAAATGCTTATTCATTCTCCTAACCAAAGCCTACTCACGTACTTAATGACCTTAACCTGACAGCTCTACAATACGGCTAGCCTGCTACGCTATGGTAAATGTCTTTTTACTTCATGTCTTTTTACTTCTAGCACAAGGTGAGTCGCAGACGACCACGTGGGCCTTACACTGAGATTACTAAGAGGAAGTACACCTTCAAGTACCATGTGCAACAAGGAGGCCATAAACTCACATTTATGTCAGTCTTTCAACTGACCAACAGTCGCCTACAGGCAAGTTTTATATAGCCTAGCCTTTTCCGTTTGTTAACTTTTTATTACATGCATGATTTTAATTAGATACATTGTCCATAACATAAATATGTTATGGACAATGTATCTAATTAAAATCATGCATGTTGCACCTTGTTGCACATGGTACTTGAAGGTGTACTTCCTCTTAGTAATCTCAGTGTAAGGCCCACGTGGTCGTCTGCGACTCACCTTGTGCTAGAAGTAAAAAGACATGAAGTAAAAAGACATTTACCATAGCGTAGCAGGCTAGCCGTATTGTAGAGCTGTCAGGCTCTGGAAAGATTAATGTGTATTTAAAATGGATCATTTATGTAGTAGAAATGTGAAATTATTTTTGAATGGAGCCTTCTAAAAGCCAGAAAATGTATTTTTGATTTATGGGGATGAAAGACAACAACTCCCAGATTGCAATGCTAAAATGCACACATCAATCAATCACATGTTTAGCATCCATGTAAACACTACATTCAGATTCACAAATCGGAATAAATTCAGTTAGATTGAAACAAAAGATGTGCATGTAAACAATGACAATTTTTGCGTCATCGGAGGATTTTTTCCAGACAAAAAATACATAAATCTCTCATCTCAGGGGGATATGAGGGAGAAAAGCAATTGTAATTCGAAAATACTAAAAAGAATTCGGTTTTCTAATGATACAAAGCTTAATGCTAAATCCTGAAGTATCCCTTTAATGACTGTATGTGAAAAACAAAATCCTATAGTTTAGAGGAATGTTTATAATTATACATTTATGGTCACAGAAACAATGCAATTGTGCAAAACAGACCAGCATAGTTTATTATATTTCCCTTGTTCATGAGTTGTGGTGTTTATTTTTTAGGCCTCATAGCATTCCTCCTGCAGTGAGAGAGGGGATAAGAGAGCATATCTTGAGCTTCCCACGCCAACCGAACCACTACTCACGGATGAAGGGAGATGTGGAGAGGGAGTACCTGAGCCCTGATTTAAACCTGCTCCGCATGTTCCGCCTGTACAAGGAACACAATCCAACATCCACTGCAAAGTTCTGGCTCTATAGGGACATCTTCAAGCAGCAGAACCTCAGTTTTGGGCAGCCAAGAAGTGACACTTGTGCGAAATGTGACGCCCTGTTTTTAAAATTAACAGCTGCTACAACAGAAGGAGAAAGGTTGAAGATCGCAGCCGAGAGTGAGCTTCACCACCGGAAAGCTGAAAAAGCGTACACCCAGTTGCAGGCTGACACAGAGTGGGCCAAAGCCAATGATGACTGCCATGTCATTTGTATCGACATGCAGGGGGTAGTGTTCACGCCAAACCTGACACACTCCAACGTGTACTATCAACGGCAGCTGGCCAACTACAACCTCTGTATCCAGGAGATGGGCACTGACGATCCTCCTACAATGTGCCTCTGGCATGAGGGCATCGCTCACAGAGGTTCCATCGAGGTGGCAAGCTGTCTTTTGAAGTGGGCAGAAACATCTTTTGCTCCCCTAGTCCAGGCAAAGGAACGGAAGCTCGTCATCTATAGTGACCGATGCTGTGGGCAGAACAACAACTGGCGAGTCCTAAACCTCATGGCCCTGCTCGTATCTAGAGGGTACTTCAGTCAGATAGAGCAGAAGTTCATGGTGTCTGGTCACTCCTTCCTTCCCTGTGACCGTTCCTTTGCCACGCTGGACAAGAGGCGTAAGGTGTCCACACTCCACACCCCCAGCGATGTCGCCGAGATGATCCGTGGAGCCAGGCAGCAGCATCCATTCAAAGTCATTGAGATGAAATGTCCGGACTTCAGGCAGCTCCCTGATGCAACATTAAAGCGTCCACCTGGCTTGCTAATCACATCCATGATGTGGTTGAAAGTGACAGGTAAAAAACAAAAGAGTAGGTCTTCTGAGATTAACAGTGTTAGGGATATGTGCGTGAAAGAAGAATCTTTATTGAATTTCTTGTTGAATCATGATTTCAGCTGCTGATCCATGGTGTGTCCACACAAAAGGGAGCCACAGCCTCTACGAGGGATGGAAGACCTGGCTGATCACCAAACAGAGGAAGAATCAACCACCTCCAGCTCCCTTGTTCTCCACCACGTATGCTCGTGCTTATGAGGACCCTCTGCCCGTCAAGAAGGAGAAGCACCGGGATCTTATGAAAATGCTAGCCTACATGCCACCGGAGGCCCAAGCATTTTATGGGGCATTAGAATGCGAAGAGTAGCCTGGTATGTGTAGGTCATGTGCAGGGTAAGGTGGGGTATATTGTGTATATTGTGTAAAATTAATCATAATAGTAGTTGTAGTTTATCTTGTATGCCTTATATTATGTTGTATAATAGGAATATATAGTTATTTATTTAGTAAATGAATGAATGGGGTGATTTATGAAATGTATTATAAAATGGTAAACTAGCATATGGAACCATAGCAAGGAATGATGATGATGTATGTCTGTATTGTAAATATGTATTGTTTACAGTTATTACTGTTGTTTATTGTTTGTATGTATTGTTGATTGTATGTACGGTTTATTGTTTGTAATGACGTTTATTTTCTGTACTATAAGTAGGCCTATGTATTGTTCATTGTTCGTACTGTATTGTCTGTGTTTTTGTTCTGTGATTTATGTTGGTAAAAAAATAAAAGAAATTGAAAGAAAGAAATGTTTAATATTTTCTTTAAGGTTCTGTTACTGTATTAAAACTAAGATAAAGGAATCAAATCTCCAGTGGTTTAAGTGATATGATGAATTGGACTTATACTGTTATTCCACATTAACTGGACTTATACTGTTCTTCCACATTCCAGAAATGTAAATTACTCTAACTTTTTATTTTTAAGATTGATACTAAAAAATCTTATCTCATTAGAATTGTGAAACTTTTGTTGTCTATCTTCAAGTAAAAAAAAAAAAAAATATATAATATTCAGAGTCCAAATTAAAAAAATGTCATTATTCAAAATTTGAAAATATGGACTTATAAGGTTCTTCGTCTCAAGCCCTGAATTCCTGCAAATGCAGAGATGAAGTTCATGTTCTCATGATTTATTTTTATGAATACAACTTTTTCAAAACATCCCCCCCCCCTCTGTTTTTTTCACAGATCGCACCCTGCCTGTAATTATCGCATATTCACAACAGATAGGCCTAGCTATATTTCCATATCCATTCAACATAACTCAGAACAAGATATTAACAACTAAAAGTATCTTATTTAGATATTCTGTTGACAATGAGAGAGACAATGTCACGGTTTATGAATTCGCTGTCTCCTTTTTCGTCGTGTGTGTGTGCGTGCGTGTTTGCGTGGTCGCTGATCATTGCAGCTGATCAGCACGCCCGCTCTGATCAACGCGCCAGCTGCCTGCAACTGTATGATCAGTATTCGACCCTTTTTAGTGTTACTGTTGTCGCCTAGTCTTTGTCAGATCGTTGTGGATTTTTCCTGCGTGTTTGTTCCCTGCCTGTATCCGTTTTCCGTGGGTTATCCGCTTATCCCGTGTTCAGCACTCCATGGTTCTACACGCAGCGTCCCTGTGCTGCCAAGGGCTTCATATACCGGACATTTATACACCTTAACTCTCCCAGCATCTGACCACCTCTCAATAAACATATCTGTCATTTTGCAATTGAATCTTCTGATTATTTCCTAATAGACAAAGGTCAACCGCGAGAAATGTAACAAAAGAATACCGCGAAATTCAGTGCGGTCAATATGACCGTCTATGGCCGAAATAGGTAAATATGTTCATTTGAGGGGCGTGGTTATGACTCCGAACTGAGTGCACGTCTTTTTGTGAGCTCCTGGCGTTATTTGTTGAAAATCCTGTATATTCTCCTTCTTTTTGATTATACAAGTGTACATTTTTTCACTAACTGCTTGAGGTGAAATAAAAATCGAAATGCCGTCGAAAAAATCCAAAATGAAGCATAAAACGGACTCCTAGCCACTCAAAGACCAGGATGACGAGTGGGATGCTAGCAGTGTAGCTAGCTCATCGGGCAACGCATGCAGCGCTTCCAAACCTGAAGAAAATTTTACCAACACGGGCCAGAATTTGGATGTGATCCAAAAGTTGCACATGATGAGAAGTGACTTTGCGACAAAGATAGATGGCGTTCTTAACGCGATTCATGAGGTAAAAAAGGACGTGAGAGACTTCTCGGGACGCATGGAAATGGCCGAAGAGCGAATCAGCAACGTAGAAGACACAGTTACTACGGAGTAGGGCAAGATGGAAGAGGAAGTTAAACGCCTAGCCTTCCTTTCACATAAGTTATACGACCTTGAAAACCGCTCTCGAAGATCGAACCTAAGAGTGGTTAATCTTCCTGAAAAGGTGGAAAATCCCGACGCGGTCGCCTTCTTAGAAAAATGGTTACCTGAAGTGTTGGGCCCGGCAACCTTCTCCGCGCCGCCCATCATCGAGAGAGTGCACAGACTACCTGGTCGTTCAGAATCCAATCGATCATCTCCTCCAAGAGTGCTGATCATGAAGTTTTTGAACTTCCAAGATAAAGTCAGAGTGATGAGAGCTGCCAGGATTAAAGGAAAGATCATGTATGGAGATCATGAGGTCAGATTTTTCCCCGATTTATCCGCGGAGCTTCACCGCCAGAGGCGGCGTTTTGACGGGGTTAAACAACGGTTGAGATCCATGAACGTCAATTATGGAATAGTTTATCCAGCCAAGCTGCGCCTGACGATTGATGGACAGACCCGTGAGTTTGAGGATCCGGTTGATGCAGAAAAGTTTTTGCAGGGAATTCAAAGTGCGGGTGAAGCAGAAAGAACCTAAAAGGATGCGTTGTCATTTTCTTAATTTCAGTCCTAGCTAGAAGTGACTCGGAGTTGTATATTTCTGTGCAGTTTTTCTATCTGGTTGGTTCTTACCTTAACATGTACTATTGCTAGTGCATTTCTAGACACAGATGGCTCGATTATTATTTTATTATTTTAGTTTATGTGTTACATATGTTATTATTATTTAAATAGTTTCCCCGCCATTTTATCTGAGGCCAGTAACTTACAATGTTAAGGCAGTAAAACACTTGTGCATATTGGGGGAGAAATTTATTTTTTATTTTTATTTATTTATTTATTTATTTTTTATTAATATATATATATAGATATATATATAATTAATTTTTCATTGAAATTCAAAGCCAGGTGACTCACACATTTTCTGTTTGTTTTATGGTTTATGTTTTTCTGATCTATATAAGCAGAAAATATAAGGTTTGGTTTAACTGTTCCCTTGTTGGATCGGTGTGGAGACATAACTATATGCCAAGATGATATAAGGGGGAGGGGCCAGGCTGTTCAGTTCGGGATAACAGCTAAAGGGGGGTGTTCATGGCAGGTTTTTGAGTTATTTATTTGTTTTTATATTTTTTATACTAACTCTTTATTTTGGCGGATTTCTTGGTTAACTTCCTCATCGAATGATTACTTGAACTACAAATGGCTATTGCTATGTTGTACAATCTGTCTTAAATTAAAACAAAATCTCACAGTTCAAGAAGCTTAAATTTACCTCTTGGAATGTAAGGGGGATGATTAAAATAATTAAACTTAAGCAAGTGATGACGAGGATTAAGCAACTTGAATCCTATAGTATTCCTTCAGGAAACCCATTTACTTAAAGAGGAGCTTCAAAAGGTACAAAGAAGATAGCCAGGTCAGGTCTTGGCTTCATGTTTTTCTTCCCATTCGAGGGGAGTTATGGGGTTGATCCATAAGGCCGTAACCTTCAAAGTAAGTAAGAGCATTACAGACAAGGGTGGTATAGATATCTGATAGTGCAGGGAACTTATATGAGTAAAATTATTAATTTGGTTAATATTTATGCCCCAAATGAGGATAATCCTGCATTTTTTGAGGATCTTTTCTTATTGATTGCTTCGCTATCTGGAACAGTGATAGCAGGTGATTTTAATTGCACTCTTGACCTTGAGTCCTGAAGTCCTGGAAGCTTGATCGCTCTTCAGGACTGGATAGCTCTCACTCTCAGGGTAGAAAGAAAATAAGACAAGCTATGAAAGATTTAAATATGTGACCCTTGGAGAACACTAAATCCTTTAAAAAGGGAATACTCATGTTTCTCTTCTTTATCTAAAACCTCCTCTCGTATAGATTATTTCTTAATTTCTGTTTCTTTATTGCCTAGTATAGAAAGTTGTATATGCGATAGTGCGGTTTTGTCGGATCATTCCCCCACCTCACTATTTTATTTAGACACTCAAACAACTAAAAGTTCTCCTAGATGGTGTTTGCAGACTAGATGGTTGCAAAACTCTGAATTCATTAATTTTGTTGGTGAACAGATAGACCTATACTTTACAATAAATACAGATCAAACCTCGGCGGCCATTAGATGGGAAGCTTTTAAGGCATTTATTAGAGCACTGATTCTTGAGAGTCGGGACAAAACACGTTTTAAAAAACTTTTTTTTAAATACACACTATATCAATTAGAGTTGTATGTTTCTGCAGAGAAAGATCTTAGCTATTTAACCATGTAAAGGAACAGGTTCTAAATAAAAACACATTTTTAACAAATAAACACGTTTCCCTTCAGAACTGAAATTGTGTCAACTCCGTCAGACACACTAAAAAGTATACAATTTTAATTCTTCCAATCCAACAAGAATCTAAAGTTCTGAAGTATATTATAATAGTGTTTAGTTACTCTGATATGTAAAAAAAAAATACAATATATAAACTTAAGTTGTGATTTCACACTATTCTGAAAACTCAGATTTCTAAATATTTGCATTTTCAAACTTTGATTTTAATTTCAATATTGTAAAAACAAATTCCTTAAATAAATAAAACATAAGATGTAGATCAGATGGTCCTTTATTACAAAAACAACATAAACTGAAGGAAGAACATTTTTTTCCCAAAAAAATTAACAAAAATGAAAACATACATCCAACGCTGTTGATGAAGATATGACGGTGTTGATGAAAACCTGACGGTGTTGATGAAGATCTGACGGTGTTGACAAAAAATATGTGTGCATTGTGATGTGCTCAGATGTGCTCTTTAAACTACTACTAAAACTACTCCTTTTTATTAGAGTAGGCCTATTGAACTTACTGTAAAGCAAACTATAATAAACATATTGCACATACACCGTTTCCAACTATTATAAATTACCCCGTTTCCAACTATCAAAAAAAAAAACAATAAGGGAAACCAGGGGCCCTCCTCC